ATGTTAATATCAACACAAGCATTGAAGAAATAAAAGTATTTATCGGAATATTAATTTTTATGGTTTACTATAGCTTACCTAGTATCAGGTTATGTTCGTAAAATTATTCTAATTTTTTTTTTTTGTGAACATGTGGCCTAAATCATGCTGGTTAAAAGGTTTTTGAAAATTCTACGGTCACTTCATCTTAATGATAATTCTCAAATGCTATCAAGAAATTATTTGGATTTCGATACATTATATCGCCCATTAAGATACTTGGCAGTCGATGAAAGTATGATAGCATATAAGGGTCATTCCACTATGAAACAATATATGGTTATGACACCTATTAAAAGGGGTATTGGCTGATTCTTATAGTGGTTTTTTATTGAATCTTGATATTATATACACTTGAAAAATATCAAATGGAATACTTGAGTATGGACTAGGAGAAAAAGATGTGTTAAACTTGACCAACATGTTGAAAAACTTATTTTATTGTGTTTTTTTTTTGATAATTTTTTTACAATATACCTCTAATTATAAAACTTTTGTGTGACGGTATATTTGCATGTGAAACATTTATAGTAAACAAAAAGTATTATCCAAAACACCTTATTAGAACTAACGGCAAGTATAATTCTGGTGACATTGAATATGCCCAAAGTGAAGATATTGGTAATAGTTGATAGAAGAATGTAGGAAGTAAATCAGTGACACTTGTTAGCAATATGCATAGCTCTTCAAATACATCTACAGTATTGAGAAAAATGGTAAAGGAAAAAGGGTTGGTTCAAGTAAAGTATTATATTGGAATATCACATTATAATAAATACATGGAAGGAGTTGACAAATTTGATCAATATATGTCTCTATATTAAATTATCCAGAAGTCGAGGAAGTGGTGGATTAAACTTTTTTATTATATGGTTGATACTACTATTGTTAATTCTTATATTTTACATAAAGAAAGTTGCAACAAGAATAAAAGTAAATAAAATACGCATTTAGAGTTTAGATCAAGACTAACTGATGAATTTATTGGAAATTTTTCATACAAAAAAAGAATACATCTCCCTCCACGATCAAAGAAATAATAATAAAAAAAAAACTTTCCATCAATCATAATTTTATAGGTGTTGATTATATGTCAAAGTTCATTAATAAGTATAAAAGATGTGAAATGATAATCACGAAATCTAAAGAATAAAGATTAAATATGATTTGTTCTAATGTGAAATAACACTATGCAAATAATGTATGTTTTGAACTTTACCACAAACCTACCTGAGACTGATTATATTTTATTACTTTATATTATTTATATGGAAAATTCTAGAATTATTATTAAAATGATATATTATTATTATTTTTTTTATATCAATTTTTTTTTTTTTTAAATTTATTTAAAGAAATAAAAATACTTTAATAATATTGTGAATTATTTAATTGTACCGATTAATTGATTATGATATTTTTTAAACGAGATTTGTTATGTTTTATTTTATAAGAAATGTATTAGTTGATTTTTATTGCATATTTATTTACTTTTTTATTATATTTATATTAGTTTGGATGAGTATTATATATTTATTTAAGTAACCGCATAAGTGGGAAATATATTACCATTGCCTGTTCAGTAAATCTTATGATTCGTAAAGGGACAAAAGGAAACTATTCTTCTACCACTTTTCTAACCATGCAAAACAAATAAAAATTTTCCAATATTTTTCCCAAAATCATAACACTCCATTAGTGCATGTGTACCAATTTTTAGAAAAATCTGATGACTTTTTTTGTTCTACCCTATCAAGGGTTAAACAATAAAAATAACGTGAACTTAAACATTTTCAACACAGAATTGTATTAAAAATGTTATGAAAAATGCATAGCTCATAGTGACTCATATTTTTGATTGTGGTTTTCATATAAAAATAAAATATTACATAGTATTCCCATAATACTTATTTTTATTTATATTTGCTACTATTGTGTCATTCATCGACTATTTTTTTTTTTTTTTTATAGATTAATGGATGAGTTTAAAAACCAACAGTGTGATAATAATTGTATATAATAGATAAACAAAAAAAATAAATAAATTATAAATTAAAATTTATCCAAAATCATAAATTTAAGTACCGAGAGAAGAAGAAACATAGCGTTTAATAAACATAATTTGGTTTTCATTAATCATGATTTCACTGCAATAAAGTGCCATTAAGGTATAATTTATATGAGTGGTAGAAAATTTTTTGGTAAGTATGTTATAATTATAGTGCTAGAACCTAATGCATTTAAAAAAAAAAAATGATGGCAAATTATTTATTTTTTCAAAGAAAACTGTCAATGCTAATAACGGTGTTATAAAAATAATGATACAAATATTTGCTTTTAACATGAAGTATGATAATTATTGATTAGTAAAACCTAATAGGATACAGATTAATATTTATAAAATTTTATCCAGAAAAATATTAAATAGAACACCTGTATTTATTGTAAATGCATACTTCAGATGAGTAACATTGCAAATTAACGTTCTGAAATTGACAATCTGTTTCGATAGTTTTTACTTATTTTTTAAAATTCAAGTATAACAATATAATATGTTTAAATATAGGGATTTTTAAATATTTTATTTTGAAATAAGTTATTTATTTTTTAATTGCAGCAACTTACGTACCTACTGATAATAAAATATGTTGATATTTCGTCCTTTTGGTAAAAATGACAAGGTATATAACCTAATTATTTATTTTTAACTTAGTTAAATTTTATTGGGGCTATGGACCGATATAAAAAAAAATAAAAATAATTATAAGTAATAAGTCTAATTACATTAAAATATGTGAATACAATTGTAAATACTTTGAAAAAATAATTTTAGATGTCTTTAGTTCACTCGTAATTTAATTATATACTTATCTATCTATACACAGTGGTATATTGGAGGGTATATGCAGGTATATGACGTATACTCGGATCCCTATTTTTAGATTTATGCGTATACCTTAAAAAAAATTCATCAATTATGGATATACGTCAACTGAAAATTCATGCATTATGAGTATGCGTAAGCTTCTAGTATATCATCAGTCATAATTAATATTACAGTATAAAATAAATAATAATACTATATAAAATTGTTATTATATTATGACTAATACACTGTCCAAAAATAGCTTCGACCCACTATGAAGTTCGGAATTCGAGAACTGCCAAGCGTGTATACTGTTTAGTGTAAACATTACAATATTAGTATCAATATTATTGTTGAAATTTAAAATGTATGCGTCCATAGCGGATATTATACTGAATTTTATGTTGTAAGAATACTACTCACGTTCAAACCAAATTTACATGTTATCCTGTTCATCACTTAAATCGCAATTTTGATTTAATATAAAAAAATAAAAAAATTAACAATCATACAAATATTTGTAGAATAAATTAAATACGTTTATAGACTATAAGAAATAAATTACCTAAATTAAATTTTAAAAGTGTGCTAGTTCAAAGTTATTTACGTTGTTACATATACATTACGTGAAGAGTGAGTGTTTGTAATAAAAGATAAAGCTTATTAAAATACTATTATAAGCGTTAAGATATTTCGAGCAAAGCGAGAACATTTTTTAAGGTATACCTATTCAACTATTTTTAGATGTGTATACCCATAAATTTATTTACCAATACACTACTGTCTATACATGATATGATTTATTATTTAAATATCATGTTTGTTGATGACTACAATTATATTTTATATGATAATATTTTAAATACACAATGCAAATGCAATCATTTATCGTTCATTATTTTAATTTGTACCTGAGTCATAGTGGCATATTAAGACAGAAAAAGGCGTGTAAAAGTATCTACTCATCCTCTACCTAAATGTTTCAGTAGTGAGTTAAATCAAAATTAAAATAACGAGCGATAAATGATTGAATTTACGTATTTACGTTACGTATTCAAAGTATTACTTAATTTATTAAGTACCATGACTACTTAAAGATATAAAGAAATTCATTCACTTAAATCGGCGTGAATAACAATTATCGGGGTGTTTGCATAATATCTAAATTTTAGTTTCATGTGCATTTTTTTTTTTTTTATCATTGGTTTGTACCAACAAATTTTTTGTATACCTACATGCAATAATTTTGTTTTTATCTGAAAAAAATCATCAATATTAATACAATTATAATAATACAAATTATTAAGTGAAAAAAATATGTACATAAAAACTTTATACTTCATAACGATTAATCATCAATAAAATTTATTTAGCTCTTATAAAAATTATATACTATACGTATTTCCGTATCATAAAGTTGTACTCGGGTGATAAAACATACGTTTCGACACTCGTATTTAGTCGGGCGTAAGTCTAATCACAACAAAAAGCCATTACCTTACCGAACGAGCGATTGCTAAGATTTGTACTATTATGGTTTCTCGTTAACGAAGGAATCGGCAGAAAAATTTGTATACAACAATTAAATCTATAAACCGACTCCTCTCATTATTCAAAATCACTCAATCATAATCGTTTAGAGCCACTATCGATACGAATAATTCAAATAACTGTCGAAACTTTTACTTTTAATACAATAATAGTTCTAATAAATACATACGTGATAAAGACCGCATTTGGGGGGTAATATAAATAGACTTTATTGACTAATACAAACATACATAATATAATAACTATACGTAACATATTTTACGCTTAAACTCGATCGAAAAAATACTCATGTTTATTCAGGAGAAATTTTAAATTTTTGTAAATAACCCGACGGTGACAAAATAAATACTCGTATAATATTATTTCAATAATAGGTACTTGTATTCTTTTGCATAAACGTTACACCCGTTATAATATATATACGGATTTGGTCTTCACGAAGTAAATCCATTGATTTTTATTTATTCTAAGTATAACCAATTGCATAACACATACCACAATAAAAATAATACTATACATATATAGTTTAATTCGTTTCACTTACCACTGTCGTCAATATGACAAGGCAGAACAGTACTATCAACAAGTAGTCGGTGAAGTTTCTATCTTTGAATAAATTGTGTGGACTGGTTGTGGTATTGACAGAATCTTTGATCGTGTCATTGTCTGCCAACGACGAGTTCATTGCAAACCCCTAAAATATATAAAAACATCAGATTGAGTATTAAATTTTCTATAGTACCTATTCACTGAGGTATTAAAAATATTGCGATCATTTGAAGACGAGTTTACTCCCAAAATTATGGTCAACTAAGTATATGTTTATATAATAACTTTATTTTTGAATATACTCAGATAAATATTAAAAAATGAAAATAATTTATTTTTGCAATTCTTTTTGATTTTTATATTATTTTCTAAAAGGAAAATCAAATTTGAAATTCGTAGTTAATATAACCTATATTATGTATTTTTCTTATTTTAAATTATTTGTGAAATAAAAAATCCATTACAGTATAAAACTGTTTTTTTTTTTTTCATTCACTGAAAATTAGTGAGTTTTACTTATTCCCTTATATATATAAACTGTTAATAATATGATATAATATATATATTAAATGTAATATAATAATATTGTAGCTAGTTTAGTGGTTTATTTTTATTAAAATATTGTTTTTGTGATATTAGTGACAAAAGACGTACCAATAGAAAAAAAATAAATATTTGCCTACAAATTACCGTTACCTTATTTATTATAAGTACTGTAATGTACAAATTTATATTTATATATTGTCATAAATTGTAATTAATAACAAATATTTTGATTCACTGGTACTAATCTTAACACAATAATTTAGATACAACTGTCTCATGAACAGTAATCAAGCGATCAAATTATAATGCATCATAAATTATATTTTAATTCATTAATTTATTTTATCACAGAACCATTTATCGTCTATAAAGTGCAGATAACTGATACATTAAACATTAAAACATATTAAATATACTCATGAAAATACATAAATATTGGCACACACGAACCAATATTAATTTAGTATAAACGACAAATAATCGTTGAAAATGACATTATTCTATATAATATATAGTAATTAGTAGGATTCGGATAATTTACTTTTATTAATGTAACAATTTCTGAATAAAATTAATTTATTAGTATTTTAAATATTAACGATATGTTTTTGTGATTTGAATAAAAACATAGTTTAAAAATTACAAATTTTGATTTTTAATATTAATTTATATTTAACGTAACTATAATAAAAATAATAAAAAAACAATATAATAATTAAAAAAGTTTTATTTAATTTATTACATATTTTTAATATAAACCAAATTGAATGACAAGAAGTATTAACTATTGTTTTATAAAAATTGATGATAATAATATAATATTTAATATCATTAACACTGTGGCTTATAGTTCTATGTTTATTTTTTTTATCTACATAGAAATATTTACACGTTACCTAACACATATTATACAATATATTATCGAAATGTAAAATTATTAAATTGTTTAATGATAATAAATTGCATGAAAATAGGTCAACTATAATGTTGTTGCGTTTAAATGGTAGATTATACGTATTTTTCTTTTAAAAAACGTATATCGTAAAAGATCACAATACTAAATTTATCGATTGACACAGTTGAGCAATTTCATGTTTTATGTCGATATGTTGAAAAATCGGTGTTTTTTTTTTAATTTATAATAGTTTAATAATAATTTGGGCTTAACATTACGTTTAAAATTACTCGTGATGTTTAAATATTTTTCTATTTTTATTGCAACAATATGATAGTATGAATTATTTATCAGTATCCTCTCAATGAGTTGAACACATATTAATATAGTATCTATATAGTATACGTATCAATGGTTACCATACGGTGCCTTATAGATCGACTATTAATTATTTTGTATTACAAAAACGACCTAAACGTCAGAAGCAATCAATTTGACTCTAAATTATTGTATTTAAATAACTTAACAATATTTGTAAATGTATTTTTTAACAGTTGTCGTGAGTAAATTTTTAGTTGTATCATCCTGCCATCAGTAAGCTATCATCATTCTCGCCTTCCCAATTAACTTCATTTTTGACAACGTAATTACAACACCACGATTTAAAATTCGGTTTCAGGTTTAAGCAAAAGTACATGTAAATTATTGTAAAAGAAAACAAATTAAGAAAAATCTAGTTAAAAAAAAAAAAAAAAAAAAAATGAAGAAATAGAAACAATAAATTATGTTTCCAATAAAATTTACTTTAATTTCTCAATAGGAATACTAAGCGAATATAATTAACTAGAAAAGACACAATAACAAAAATGAATCGCTGAGCTCTGAAATTAATTCAGTTTTAACATAGTTAGTTAATTTATTGGGGAGTGGTTTTTCATACTTAAAAAATAAATTCTTAAATTATCGTGACTAACCTGCTTACGATTTATATTTCAAAAAAATATGTTAACTTTTTAAATATTCCGTTCAAAAAAGTTTTTAAAAAAAAAATATATGAAAATAATAAAAAAAAAACAACAATAAATTTAATATCATATCACTTAGATTTTATCTAAAACGTTATTTCAGAACAATGGAATTAAAACCATCAACGAATTACGAATCCGTTTCTTTTTTTCGTCATACTTAAAACCGTATCACTAAAAGCGCGTACGTTTTTGGCACGCAATAAATCGTATAAGATTTGTCCTGTAATCACCATCACCTACTAAATCACACGTACGTCCTTCGTAAATGTCAGAATCGAAAAGAAAGCACATCTACGAAAGTAATGGAAATATAATTCCTATAACACGCACCACTATTCATGTCTTAAAAATATATATACGAATTTTACTATTGCTCTAAGAAGTTTAAAACAGACTTACTCCAGGTTTAAAGTTTGTTCTGATACTACCACGGTCTAAATAATCTTATAAATCAGTGCGGCGAGCATCACCGTGTCTTAACGTGCGAGCTCTTTTATTTGGAACAATGATAACGCCACATAAATTTAATAGAGACTTAATAGGGAAGTGGAAGAATCTAAAAACGATGTGCCTTATCCTGTACATAAGTCGTTTGTTCTATTTTATCAATAAAACTTCATAAAAAAGGAGAGTCTAAATAAAACTTAAGAGTGTTTTTCAATTTTAATAACTATCAAATCTGTGAATAATATTATGATAACTTGATTAGTCAAGTTAAGTCAACAATAAGCACTAAAATGTAAAAAAAAATATATTTAATTTAAATAATAATACAGAGAAACTATTCGTTTAACTCAGTTTAAAAAAAAAAAAAGAAGTTTTAAATTTCGTTTGAAAATTTAGGTATTTTTCATATTTTTCAATAAATGATTTTAAATTAGCAAAGTTACGCAATCGAACTTTTAAAAATTTTAGAAATGTATGATGTTATTCTCTATAAACTGAGAACATTTTGAAGAAGAATAAGAAGAAAAATATTTTTGTAATTTTACAATAATTCTAAGATATTTTAGTTTTAAGTTAAGTAAAACTATATTTATTAATAAATTAATAAAAACAATGGCGATCAACAGTTTAAAAACATTGCATTTTGTTAATAATTTTTTGGTTTTGTTTATCTGATAGTATCCTTTTGAAAATTTATCTTTGTTAATCCACATTGTTTTAGTTTAAAATAATTATTTGTTTATTTGTTTATTTCTTGGTTGCACACATTTTGAATGAACTAAATACTAAATAGCATATTATCTTAAACACAATATAGTAATGGCTTGTGATTAGCTTGTTAAATTTTAGTAGAGCAATTTTTATACTTAGTACCTATTGTTTATACTAAATTATTAAAAATTAAAATTTTAAATTACACACAACTTACATTAAAAAATCACAAAAGCCTACTTGAATTCTTGAATAATAATTCTTACACTTAAATGAAATAATGACTCGCTGTGCTTAATAAAAATAAAAAACCGTACAATTTTTTTACGTAAAATTAACCGTGTCATGATTAATAATATGAAAACAACATAGTTGCATGCCATGCTATTAAACAAGTTGAGTTATCAAGTTAATTAGAAGACTTTAATCGAGACAAAAATTAATTAACCTATAGGTGATATACCTTTAATTTTCGGCATTCGCGAAACGGTGTGCACAAAACACCATAATAATATCATACAATTACGCGTATAAGAGGTGTCGGAAAACCAACAATATTGTTCACTGTAACTCGCCTAATGCGTTCACATCTATAATTGCTTCAGGGGTCGAAACCTCAAATTAACAATTGTTTTTGGTCTGTGGACGGTGCCGTTGTATTATAAGATATTTGTGTGATAATAATATAACGGTAATCATTTCAGCTAACGGATTCTGCAAGTGATTTGAGTGGTTAGATTTTGACCTGTAGTCATATACGTTACCAGTGTAGTTTGAGGTGAGCAATCGAGTATAAAAAAGCTAACGAAAAAATCTTACAAATGGAAAGGATCATCTCCTAAGAAAACTATTTATACCATAATATTCCCATTATGGTACCATATTTGGTAGCGGATGTGCACAAATCGTATACTATCTACTTTTCGTGTTGTTTGGATGAGACAAGGTGGACTTATTTATAACTCAACATAAACAATAATTTTATCGGTGTATTATGTGTTTTTAAAATATTTTTTTGTTTCATATGATTTGAAATCATCACATAAATTATAGAGTCATTTTAAAAATAAAATATTTTCAAAACATCATTTAATACATTTTTCGAAAAAATGATGCTAAGTTTAGGGATTTAAAGATTAAAAGGATCACTTATAATAAACACATTTCCGTTATGCCTAAACGTAGTATTACATCCGATAGATAAATTTTATTCGATGATAATGTGTCTGACTGTTGTGTAACCGTTGTTGACCTTCTGAACATTTTTATGAACTTCAAATCACTGTGACGATGAATCCAAAAAACTTACTTCATGTATACAAAATTGTTTATAGTGGTTCGGATAAGCTTTCATAGTTAAATAGGTTAAACAAAATTTCAAAAGTAGTTATCTAGAAGCTATTTCATTATGCTATAGAGCATTTTAATAGAAAAAGGTTTTGGTCTTGATTTTCGTTTTTGATTTTCAATCAACATTTGGAGACTTTGATGTTTACTATTTAAACCTTAAAAGTATCT